TTTAAAAAAATAAACAAGAATTACAATTTTATTAATAGTTCGAAAATTTATTTGCATACATATTATATTATGTTCGAAACATAATGTATTCGACATATTTACTTTTGTACATATAAAAGTTAACGTAAAAGATGCAAAATGTGCAACGTCGACAAAAAGATTGATGTAGGATACGTCTGTACTAAAAAGTAAGTATATAATTACTTTACGGAGGTTCAATGAAACTCGTACATTAAAGTGGAACACAAATAACTACAGACTATAAAGAGATTGTACTATGTTATTATTAAATAATATTATTCTCTGACATCAATCAAGAATCTTATAGTTTAATACTTTTAATTGCTGTATTGTACGTTTTTAAAAACTAAATAAAAAATGCTGTCATTCTTATACAGCAAGTAATCAAACTGCATGTATATGACAATAGAATTGCATTCAAGGTTTGCATGACATGCATGTTAGTATACACGATAGATAATGGTTTCGATAGCAAGTTAAAAATATGACTTACTGGCGGACGTCCGTTAACAATTCGTACTTGGCCTGAGGCACAGGAATTTGGTTAACCATTGAACGCACAATGTTCGTCGTGATTGACGCTTGAGGACGCTAGCCCTCGAGGGTGTCTTACCTTACCACTTTTATTACTACACCCCGTGCGATGATATATGTATGTACTAATACATATACATACGTAAAATATATATATATATTATACGTGTAATACATACATTGTACATGGAGTTGACGTTCTGTGTAGAAAAGGATAGTGTTCTATTGCGCATAACCGCATAGGAGCTTTGTACGGACAGCTAAGTACATAGCGGGAAAATTTCAAACGTATAATACTAACTGACTTCAATAATTCTAACACTTCAAATGTTTTGAGATACTTAAATCTTCATCGAAATTTTAATTCTATTTTTACAAATCAATGAATTACATTTACAACGATGATTAAACTCTTTTCTGATTGCAATTGGAAATAAAATGTTGTTATTCTGTTTTTAAAAGTATTTATAGTCACAATAGTTTGTTCCTTCCACTTACATTAGAATCAGACTTAAAACATAAAAATAGAGTGGACAACTACAGTAAATTTTCCTTAATTAACGCTCAGCATGGAAACATAAATAGACAATTTTGGAAAAGGAGGTACGATTATTCCAGCCTTGCGGTTCGTTCTTATAGTTGTTGATAATTGATAACTATAAAAACCAGTCATAAGGCTCGAATAATCGTACCTCCTTTTGCCAAATTGTCCATTTATGTTCCCATGCCGTCCATTTTTGTGTACAAGGTGAGCGTTAATTAGGTAGAATTTACTGTATTATGATTATGAGTGAATTTTAAGTGTTTTTCGCTCGAAAAACAGAATATAAAAGAGGGGATGGACTGAATGATTTGAAAAAACCTCCATTTTCAGATTCACATTTATGAGTCTACTTGGATGGCGAATTTTAATTATTGTCTTTATGCTGAAATGCTAACTACTTAATTACTTTATGTTATTATGGATCAGACTGATTTCTTACGAGACTGAGAATTTTATCAAAAGTCGTCAAAATGAAAATCACGAAATTGCTTGAAAGATATATGTGCAATTATATATTTTTGACAATAAGTACATTCATTTTGATAATCACAGTATAATGCACAATCTTTGTAGAGTCACAGAGCTTTTATACATCAATACTTGTATAAGTATAGAAGTAAACAAACTTCGAACATTCTGTTCAACATTATGAACATATAAAAAAAATATAACATATATATAAAAGACATATTAAAAGAAAAATATTCGTGGAAAACAATATTAGTAACATAAGACTAGTTTCAGAACTAGATTCAACATTCCTCCCATATTGAGTAGATAGAAGCATAAAATAGCACCATGGTTAATGTGCAAGAAACACATACTGTAAAACTTTGAATAGTCTTGTAAGCGATATAGAATTCACATTAGGTATGATTCAATATGTAAGCCATAAACCAATTCACATTGTATGTTAAAAGTACAGTTTTTGCAAATGTTAGTAGTAACAGTAAAATAATATAAAAATATTGAAGATTTGGTTGATGTACCATACATAAATGTACCTAGAATTATGCTTACAGAATTCAGATATGTTTTTACAGTTTTGTAGCAACATCAATATTTACTGACTTCTTCCTCTAACTAGAGATTCATCCTCGGCTTTGGGAAGACGCTTGTATCGTTCCTGTGTTACTATATAAATGGTCAATCCACCAAAGAGAATTAATAGAAGTCCAATTATATTAATCACAACTGCTTCGCTTACAAGCTTCGAGTAATCATCCCTAAAGTCATCAAATATTGCATTAAATACAATGAACCATATTGGCAAAAAACAGCGAATCTCACGTGTATGGTACGGAATTACTTACTGCAATGCAAAAAAGGCTTTTTCATTTAGTCCTATAAGACAGGAAGCAATTACACCAACAAAACCTGCAATCCCAAAGTATATATGAATAGGCATGTAGGATGAACGTAGTGGAACATGTAATCCAGGATAGAAGAAAGATACAAAGCCAGCGAGCCACTGAAACATTGTAACAGTGCATTATAATCATAATCTTTAAACATAATTTCAGGATATTATAATCATAATTTAGGTAAATCAACATTAAAGACCTATTCAAATGGTAAAAATGATTACTCTTGTACCTGACAGCAGAACAAAATTACACTAGTAAGCCCAACCCAGCTATGAAGACTGTACATGTTTGGTATTGGTGTTGGACTTAAGTTGTGACTATCAAACACAGCAACTAGAGCAATTATTATTAATACAATTATGAATAACATCAAGCCACCATGAATTAACTTCAGGCGATTTTTTCGGGCGTTTCTTTGAGTTCTATATATTAACATCCCTAGAAACATTAAAAATATTAAATACAATATGAAAATGAACTCAAGTTCAAATATAATTTCAAAAGATATGAAACAATACCATTTCCATAAAGAAAAACAAATGCAATGACCATTAACAAAGGATGCCAATTAAATTCCAACTTTGGATCAGATCTCCAAGCAAAACCACCTCTGTAATGGCTACACCAAACAGTAACAAAGATTACCAATATTGCTCCAAGAACTTCCATAATAATTGTAAGAGGTTTAAAACCCTCTAAAGATAAGGGTTGTTCTCCAATTTGCTCCATGTCTGAAAATCAATGGAATAATTACTTAATTGGGGTTGAAAAAAGTTCGAATGAACTGGATATAATTATAAATATATATGAGAGATAATTTTGATTTTCAGTGTATATCAAATGTTTTGCAAAATAAAGTGAAAGAACATACCTAAACACAGTTCATAATTATAAGGATAGTCTGCTGCCATGGTACAAATAAATGAAACAAATTCTTTATGTAACAAAACTCTAAATGCTCTTTATTTTACACAATACTGCTTGGACTGATCCACCTATTATTTGTAATGAATTTTTTATTTATATATTATAATAACTTTTTACTTAAGAACATTATATTTAAACATAAATCTACATTTTTGTATATGATTAATCTGAGGCAATATTTAATTTCGTTTTGTA